AACCTGATAAAATACGTTTTTTGGGGGGGGTTTTTACACAGCAATGAACAATATTTGTAACTTGAAAAAATAATCAATTGCAGAAACATTTAATACATTATGGAGTAGTTACATCTATACAGTATTATATTGGTAATATGGCCCCCAGATGGAAATCAGTTTAACACCTGTGGTCTATAGAATTATAATATATTCTTTCATAGTAGATGGGATTGTTCAGATGTCCCGAGACATCTTCAATATATTTTCTTCTGTCTGATCAATAACCTACATATGAAATTGTTGTAATTATTAACTTTTTTCTTAAGAGTCAGTATGTTCTGTTACTCTGGAAAATACAATCATATTGTTTAATGATACTAATTTTGACAAGTAGGCTTTTATATAAGTCTAGAAATCATAGGTGCATTAAGAAGAAAATGCTTTATTAATAAAAGGAGTTCATGTTTATTCATTTTAAACCTGAATAGACATAATCAACACTGCACTGTGTCAAAAGAGATGACTGCAAGGTCCAGCCTCAAAAGTCTCTCCCACATGGGTGGACTTACCTCAACAGAACAACATGTTGGGAACCTCAAATCAAATAAATAGAGTTACACAGTGATACGCCTTCACTTGGTGGAGGGGAGAAGTTGAAGAAAAGCCATGGTATCATTTCAAGAGATTAGTTTTTTAATAATCTATGTCTGTGTTTTCACAGTTAGATTTCCCTCTATGTATTCATTCACCTGTCAGTTACAAAAAGAGTTTGACCTTCATGGGATTCACCAGACAGGAGATGTAATTCTAGGAGGAATGTTTTCAGTCAATTTCTTTTCTACCGTTCCTGACCTGTCTTTTACTTCAGAGCCACAGGAGTCTGTCTGCTATGGGTGAGTGAGTGTCTGAAAAACTGGTAAAATATCATCTCATTTGTTTATATATTTTCTTTTAAAAAATGTATGTTTACATCTGTTATTTTTCAGTCCTAAACACATGAACAAATTGTATTAATTTATGTTATTGTGTTAGTTTTGATCCTTCAGGATTCAGACAGGCTCAGACCATGGCCTTTGCTATTGATGAGATTAACAGAAACCCCAACCTGCTCTCTAATGTTACTCTGGGATACAGTCTCTATGATAACTGTATTGAATTGGCAAAAGGATTTCGTGCAGCAATGTCCTTAATCAGTGGTCAAGCAGGAGAGATGGCATCAGAGGAGACCTGTGTAGGTCTTCCAGTCCTAGGGATTGTTGGTGATTCTTTCTCTACATCATCTATTGCCATCTCCAGAGTTCTAGGTTTGTACAGAGTCCCTCTGGTAAGTGAATTACTCATTGTACTTAAATGCATTGTGGAGGACATAACTTGAGATGTCTAAAAGAAATATATATATGCGTGTGTGTGTGTGTGTGTGTGTCGTCTCTGTTTCTTTAGGTCAGTTATTTTGCCACATGTTCCTGTCTGAGTGACCGAGAACAGTTTCCATCTTTTTTTAGGACAATTCCCAGTGATTCATTTCAGGTATAACAGTATATCTAACTCATGATGCATAGAATAAAAAAGATTTAAGACCCTTCTCTAAAACAATTCAATAAAAAATATTAATATTTTTAGATTTGTAGAGTGTTGTGGTACCAAATAACACCACTGTGTCCTTGTAGGTCCGTGCTATGATTCAGATTCTAAAACACTTTGGTTGGACTTGGGCAGGTCTGCTAATCAGTGGTGACGACTATGGAGTCCACGCTGCTCGAGCCTTTCTCTCTGACTTGGGTCCAATTGCAGGAGGTTGTCTGGCTTACATTGAAGTTTTACCTTGGGGAGACAACCGAGCTGAACTGAAGAGAATAGTTAATGTGATGAAGAAATCTACTGCTCGTGTTGTCATTGTTTTTGCTCTAAATAGTCACATGCTCAACCTAATGGCAGAGGTAACTAAATAGCTAATAGATAAATCAATAAGAGTTTTGATGATGTCTATTGATGTAGAGAAGATAGGTTTGCAATACCTGATAAACATGAAAAACAGTGCTATACATGAGTACTACACATTCCATTTTTTAAAATTAAATTCACAGGTTATTAGGCAGAACTTGACAGGCCTTCAGTGGATGGCTTGTGAACACTGGATTTCAAAAGCTGCACTACAGTCTTCAGACTTCATGCCATACCTTGGGGGAACTCTGGGCATTGCTATCCGTCGAGGAGAAATCTCAGGACTGAGAAATTTTCTGTTAAAAATACGTCCTGTCCCAAAACAAAACACCACGTCTAGTTATAACATGGTGAGGAATTTAACAGTAGCAGCCACATCATTATTTTTACACTGTATATAATGTTATGAAATAACATCCTTATTGTACTCCAGGTGTATCAGTTCTGGGAACACATCTTTAAGTGTAGATTTGCTCCACCTCCAGCAGGTTGGCTTGAAACTGGAGGACAATTGTGCACTGGACAGGAAGTTATTGAGACTGTTTTGGGGGAAGAAGTTTTTGATGTTTCAGACCTCAGACCAGAGTATAATGTGTATAAGGCTGTGTATGCTCTGGCACATGCTCTTGATGACATGCTGCAGTGTGAGCCAGGGAGAGGACCTTTCAGTGGAGACACCTGTGCTCAATTACAAAGACTGGAACCATGGCAGGTGTGTTGGCAGTTTTCTCTGAATGAAGCTTTAGACTTGTTCTTACTTTACTGCTTTGAACCAGAGTAGAGGTAATAATTTTAAGAATTGTAATGACTTTTTAATGAAGAAAATACATTAGCTCTAAAGTCTGGTATTTAGTTATGTCATTTCATGTTATGTCTTTTTATAGCTTGTGTATTACTTGAAAAAAGTCAACTTCACCACATCATTTGGTGATCAAGTGTCATTTGATGAAAACGGTGATGTTTTACCCATCTATGACATTCTAAACTGGGTGTGGCTTCCTGATGGAAGCACTAAAGTTCACAATGTGGGTGAGGTTAAGAGGTCAGCTACAAATGGGGAAGAAATCACTATTGATGAAAACAAAATCTTCTGGAACTTTGTTTTTAAACAGGTGAGTATTTATATTTTGGATTACTCTTTAACTCTAGTCTTAAAAATAGATTAGGTGACATAAATACATGGAAGTTAAAACATCTTTGTCATCCCACAGCCCCCCAGGTCAGTGTGCAGTGAGAGTTGCCCTCCAGGAACTCGTATGGCCCACAAGAAAGGGGAACCTGAGTGTTGTTTTGACTGTGTTCCTTGTTCAGAGGGAAAGTTCAGCAATTCAACTGGTAAGTATGAAGGTTTTTGCTATGACAGTCAACAAATATGGTACCATATTCTGATACTGTCTTTTTGCACCTGAAGGCTCTAT